GACAGAGCCCCAAAAGGAAGACTTACCTGACCAGGTGGCATGTTTTCACCTGCAGCGAATTGGAGTTGTCCTTCCGGGATTGTTGGTAGGTGAAGGAGAGTTAAGGAAATCGAGAATGGAGACTAATTCTAGAAAGGGAGGCAGGGGAAGGGTTCCGAGTTCCGGAGGGAGGCTGAAGGCCGGGCCTGGTCCTAGGAGAAATGCTGGGGGCGGGATCTGGGGTGGGGCCTGTCGGAAAGGGGCTGAAGGCTGGGGGGGTGAGGAGGGGTGAGCTTTGGGAGGATGCACGGCTGAGAAGGGGGCTAGGTTCTGGGGGTGGCTGAAAGCATGGCCTGGGTCCTGGTGGAGAGGCCAGAGGACGGACCTGGGTTGGGAGTAGGGACAGGTCCTAGACTGTAGGGAGCAGGAGCGTAAAGCCCAGATTGGGGAGGGGGCGGGAGGGGGCGGGGCCTGAGTCGAGAGGAGGAAAGGGGTGGAGCCTAGGCCGTGGAGAAAGGCTGGGCCAAGCCTGAATTCTAGGTCCTAGGAGGGGCTCGCGAAGCCCAATCTTGGCCTGGGCTGGGCAGCCGGGCTCCCTCATGGACTGGGACTGCGGGGCCCATGGCGAGGCCTGCGAAGGATATATGTGGAGCAGTTTTGCCGCCAGCTGAGAGGAAGGGATGTACCAAGGGTGCATCATGAGGAACATGCGCACCAGCTGAGGGTCCCGCACCTTCCCGGAGTCATCTAACTCCGAGGGGTCAGAGAGAAGCGGGTTGACCCTTGGTCCCGTAGCTGCGGTCCCTCAAGCCTACCTCACAGCCCCGCCGGATATCTGGCCCCCCGCCCACCACCTGCTTTCCCAGACTCTGAAACCAGTAGGCAGATGAGAGAGAAAAGCTAGGGTGGGAGAGGGATAAGGCAGGATCCGAAGAACTGGAGGAGGGGAGCATCTGACCCGGCCCATCGTCCCGAGGGGAACCAGCTGGGGCGGAAGAAGCCTGGGTTCCCCAGGGTCAGGAATCCCAGAGGTCATTTCCTGAGTGCTTGGGGGAAGGGGCACCCCTTCACCAGATAAGCTGCCCCCCATCAGCCGGAAACAGCTCCCAGGCCGGAGATAGAGAGTTCCTCCGGATCCTCCGGGGAGACAGATAATGCTCCTCATGGGCCAGAGTCTGGGGATCCCATCCCTCTCCCTTCAAAGCCGGCATACTAGGGAAGGGAAACAATCTTTCTGAAGCGTAGGGATCTCTCTACCCTGTGACGAAGAGCAGGCTTTCGTTAAAAAGGTTGCAGGATACGGAACTGGGTGGGTCTAGGCTGGGGGTCTGTCCTTGGAGGCAGGGACCGCGCTTCAGGCTCGGGGCTGGGCTCAGGCTGGGTGTGCCCTCCCGTGCCACTCACCGAAGGCTTCGATGCAGCCGCGGAGCAGCTCCTCCACTGTGCAGCCCTTGTCCAGGTCTAGGGTGCCCGCCATGGCTGCCGGAGCGGGTAGGCTGGACCAAGCTGCACTCCGGAGCCTCCCACGGGGCTCGGACCGGACCCCTGTCCCGGGAGAGGCAGAGAGGGAGTCTGCGGAGGCGCGGCGGGCGGCGGGGGGGGTTCGAGTCGCCAGGCGGGGCGGGGCGGGGCGGGGCGGGCACGCCCCCTGCTGGGCAGGGGCGGAGTCGTCCCCTGCGGCCACTCCCGGGGTTAAACGGTCTGGCCCGCGGATGGTGCAACCCACCAGTTGGGAAACCGACTGGCCGAGAGGCTTCCGGCTCACCCTCGGAGTCACGGGAAGGCCGAGGGGGGCTCCCCGGGGATGGGGACGAGCCAGGACTCCGGGGACTGGTTTGTGCCCCAGCCCCTGGTGGGCCCTCTTCCCCTCGCGTCCTCTCCCCAGAGGCACCTGCAGCACCCCCGCGGCTCGGCTCCGCGCCCCTCCCGCTTCCCTCCTGCCATAGCCTCCCTTCCCCCGCAGGGTTATTTTGGGAACCCAGAGCCTGAGGGGACCTCGGAGGAATTTCTCCCTGGGATGGGAGGGAGGGAGGAACCCAGGCGTCCTGCCCGCATCGCCCCCTCCTGGGCTCCCTAGGAGGGGAGGCGGGGCTGTGGCAGCCCCCAGGGGCCTGCCCCTGGGGAGGCGAGCTGGAGTGGAGAAGAACATTCCTCGGGCGGGGTGGGGGTGGGGGGGAGGCCGCGGCGGCCGGGAGGCGTCAACGGGAAGCCTGAGCCTGGGAACCGCGCGCTCCCAAGCCACCTCCTCAGTGAAGGCCCCAGGGGTCCGGCCTCGGCCCTTCAGCAGACCGTCTTCCTCCCCAGCCGGAGTTCCTGACCCAGGCCCCCACACTGCACAGTCGAACTGGGAGCGCACACAGAGGCCGGCCACATTCGAGCACACAGAGAAGGGTGCCCAGAAGGGGGCGCTAGCGCCGTGAGGGGTGGAGAATGCCTGGCTGAATCCACCAGCAACTCCAGTCACTGGCAGGGTCGGACGCACCCATGCAGGGACACACACTCATTCTATACCCGAGGCCAGGGGCTCATATTGGGGTGTAAGACACCCGCCCCCCCCACACACACACCCGAGCCTCAGGCACTTGCCTCCCATCCTCCGTCTCAGACACACAATGGCACTCACACCCCGCACACACCTGCAGGAAGGAACCCTCCGGCACACATACCCAGCCTTCCAGCCCAGAACGCAAACCCGTTGATGGGGCCAGTTCCCGGACTTGCAGCTCACTCGAGCCAGGCCAGCCTGGAGTTCCGCGGCCACAGAGGCGCTGGAATCGCACACGTGTGCACACACACAAGACAGGGCACCTACACGCATGCACACTCCCACACACGCACACGCCCCCATGGGTGCGCACACACGCCCATTCAGCCGCCCCCCCTCCTTCATCCGCAGTCCAGGACAAGCTCTGCGGCCGCAACGCCCTGCCACCCCTCATCCCCGGACGTTGGCAGGGCCTGGCCCCACGAAAAGGTACCCCGCCCCTACACAAACTCCCCCGGGCTGGAGGGGGGCGACTCTCCTGAGTTCTCTGGCCGACTTTTCCTAGGAGCCACCCATAGCCAACCCCGTCTAGCCCTGCTGCTGCCTCGCTGCGTGACCTTGAGAGTCACTTGGCCTCTCGGAGCCTCAATTTTCTTATCTGTCAAATGGGGGGGTCCGCGGGAGAAGGTCCCGCTGAGACGTGGCTGGGAAGAGCCGGATGTGCCGTGGATGCCGCCCCCTCCCGCGGGTTGTCCAGGGCGCTTCAGCTCTCTCCCTCCCACCCCGGACCCGGCCGCAGACTCTGCACCCACCAATCCACCCGCTGCCCCCAGCCCGCCTGCGTCGCCCGGGGGGGAGGGGGAGCCCTAGGGGCCCGGCCCTCTTCTGCCCAGCGCCCCGCCCGCTCTCGCTCACTCACTCTTGGGACCCGCGGCACGGAGCCCGCACCCGGCCGGGCCGGCGCCACCTCCGTGCGCTCCCGCCCGCCGGCCTCGCTGCGGCTGCGGCTCCCGCCCGCTCTCCGCGCCGCGGCCCCGCTTCCCGCCGCCCCGCCCCCGCGCCGCGGCCGCCCCCTCCCCTCCCCGCCCCTCCCGCCCCTGCGCGGGGCTCCGCACCGCCGGCTGCGCCTCCCCCCACCGGGGGCTCCCTCTCGCCCCGCACGCGGCGGGCCCTGCGGCAGCTTAACCCCTCCCCTGCCGCGCCGCCCGGGAGGCCAGGGCCGCGGGCTGGGGCTGCGCCACCCGCCGCGCGGAGGGTGGGCGAGCGGAGGTCAGGCCTCGCGGGACGTGGAGGGGGGGAACTAAACCGAGAGCCCTCTCCCCCCACCCAGACGCCCCGATGCCCCCCGCCCTGCCTGGTGTTGGGCAGAGGAAGCCGGGAGGGGCAGGAAGCGGACTGCGGTGGGGAAGGGGCGCCCCGCCCAGCCCCCGGCCCGGGTTCCTGTTTTCGAAGACAAACCGTTCCCACGGGCCTAACCGGACCCGGGGCCGGGCGTCTTCCTGCGGGCAGAGGGGGGCACAGACCTGGTAGAGATCGGGGCCGTGGGGACACCGGGTCCTTGTGATAGCCTGGAGCAGGGGCTAGGAACATTTTGGGGACAGGGGCCTGTGGGAGGGAGGAATGAAAACGCGGCTACCTGGAAACGTGGCCTCGGTGTCTGGGGATGGGGGCGGGGGGGCTCCAGTTCATACAGTGGGGACGGGACCCGGAAGCCTGGCTCCCCACGGGGCCAGATGGGAAGGGGCAGCTGCAAGCCGCGGGTGGGTTCTGCGCAGCTTGGAGACTGGAAACCGGCGTGCGGGTCCCCCCACCCCCGGAACTTGGGAGGGGCAGCCACAGGCAGTTGGGGTCCCCACAAGCCAGGCCCAGGGGAGCCGGTAACCATTTCCGGCGGTTTGGGTTCAAACACACTCACTGTGAAACCACGGGCCCCAAACCTGCCTTTGGAGGCTTGCCCCTTCCTGCCTCAGGGCTAGGGAGGCAGAACCTCCCCTACACCTCAGTCTTTATAATATGAGGCCCAGGAACAGGCCGTTTCTGGTCCTGTTTCCCCAGAGTGGGAGGGGGCAACACTGGCCTAGCCTAGACGGTCTGTGAGTGTCCCCCGCCCTAACTCCCCGACTTCAGACCAAGCTTAGCCACCTGCTTAGAGACCCTTAAACGCCGCAGTGGGGCGGGGCTCAGGGCGGAGTCAAAAAGGCGCCAACCACCCACAGGCTCCTCCCCCTCCCAAGTCCTGGCCGGGACAGCGTGGATCCTCGGTAGTCCCGGAGGCCTCTGCCCAAGTCCCAGCTCCCGGCCCCGGTGGGCTCCACCCAGGAGACGCCCCGCCCTCGGCTAGCCTGGCAGGCCGCTGACCTAGTATGGACACAGCTCTGGGAAGAGAGGCGTGGAGGGTGACGCCTGAAGGAGGCTGGAGAGTCTCGGCCCCGCCCCCATGGGCTGCCCCCTCCTTCCGAGGGGACGCACCTGCGGGTGGAGGGGTGGGGCACGGTGACTGCGCAGCGGCTGTTATGCGTGCCCAGAGCTAAAAATATTTCCCAACAGACAGAGGAATAAGGAGGCTCCCAAGGAGAATCAATTTATTGGGGAGTGGGTGCAGTCGGTCAGACCCATACATAGGAGGGGGCAGGGAGCCAGAGGACAGGATGGGAGCAGCGTCCTCAGTCATGCTGACACTAGGATCTTGATGATGGGGGAAAATGGGGGGTTCCAGGAAAAGGTTGAGAGATCTAACTCTAGTACCCCCCTCCGGATGAAGAGCTGGGGTTGGCCCACCCAAGGGATCGCAAACAAACTCAGGGGCCAGTTTGGGGTCCGGTCTGGAGGCTCAGATGGTCTTGTCAGGGGCTGGCAGGCACCTGCGTGAAGGCTCTACGCCCCAGATATCCTGGGCGTACTGGGCGATGGTTCTGTCACTGGAGAACTTGCCTGATGCGGCTATGTTGCGGATCACCATCCGCGTCCACTCTCTTGGGTTCTACAGGCCAAAAGACAGCTCTGGGTTCATTCTGCCAGTGGGATCCCCAACATCCACCACAGCCCAGCCAGGGCCACCAAAGCCTTGCTGACCCCTGGCCCAGGACGCCTCACCTTGTACAAGGCACTGACTTTCTCCTGGCATTTAATGTAGTCTTCGTAATCTGCAAAGACTTTAAACCTGGAAAGGAATAGAGAGGCAGGAAGTTCCATGAAGTCAAGGGCCAAGCCCGTCCTGTCCTGGTGGTCTTCCAGGCGCCAGGAGAGTAAAGCTGTTTCCAAAGGAGCAAAGGAGCCTGGCCCCAACTGCCCAGGACCGCTGCTCAGCCTCCCCACACAGCACCTGAGCCCAGTTCAGCCCAGCAGCCCCACCTGCACGGTTCCCTGGCCAGTCAGCTCACCGGTCATGGTGCATGAGCATGTTGACAATGTTCTTGAACAGGTCCGGCTGTTTGGGGGAGAAGAAGCCACTGCTCAGCTGCTCAATGATCTGCCGAAGCTCGGGAATTCGGTCATAGTACTCCTGGGCGTTGTACCTGTGGGGAAAGAGCAGTCAGCGCCGTGGAAAGGAGTTCCTGGTTCCCCCTCCCAAGAAAACCCGAGAAGTCCTAAGCCCCAGGGTTAAAACCCAGGCCCAGCCTGTTGCTGCCCTCTCCGGAGCAGCTGCACCACCTCTGGCGGTCCTTCCCTGGCGGCCCCCTCCCTTCTCTGCCCAGCTTTTCAACCCCCTTCTGTGCTTGAGGCCTGGAGAGGGACAAAGGTAAGCGGCAGAGCCAAGGCCCCAAACCAAGTGCTCTTCTGCCCACACACCGCTACCTCTGCTAACCAGTATGTTTCCTTCCGGAATGCCTGGGCTCAAAACCCTCCCCAAGGCCAGTCTCATCTCTTTCCTTCCCTCCCCACCTGCATCCAGCCACTCAGGCCGAGGAGTGGGTGCAGTGGGTCAGGATCCACAAATACGAGGGGGCAGGGAGCCAGAGGACATCCCTCACCCCGATCCCCAGCACTGACGCTGGAGGCCACTCTCCGCGCACTCCGGTGTCAGCCCCCACACTGGGGCCCCCCACCTGCACTTTGCCTCCTCCTCCCCTGCAGTCCAGTCTCCACCTCGCAGCCAAAACCGTCCTTCTGGAGCCTGCTTCTGAACATGTTGGATCTTGCTCAAAACATGTCCTATCTCCCTCCTGTCCAAAGGACACAGTCTGAACTTCCTAGTCAAGCCCAACAGGAGAATTTCCTTTCAGTATTTAATGCCAGCTCTCAGAAGCAGTTGGGGGGAGCGTAAACTGGTACGAACTTTCTGGAAGGCCATTTGGCAACCTGCATCAGGAGCCTTAAGAACTCATACTTAAAAAAAAAAAAGAAAAGAAAAGAAAAAAAGAACTCATACCTTATTTGACTCAGAAATATCCCCTCTACTAATTATCTTAAGGAAATAAATATGGAGACATGGGTGTAAAAGGATGATCATCACAGGGATATTTACACTGCCGAACAGCAGAAATCAACCTAATGTCCAACACTATGGAACTAGTTCAATAAGTTATGACACCTCCATTTTGATGGAACCCTGTGCAGACATTTAAAATATTTTAAAGACTGGGGCGCCTGGGTGGCCCAGATGGTTAAGCGTCTGCCTTCAGTTCAGGTCATGATCCCGGGGTCCTGGGATCGAGCCCCACATCGGGCTCCTGGCTCAGCGGGGAGCCTGCTTCTCCCTCTCCCTCTGCCTCTCCCCCTGCTCATTCTCTCTCTCTCTCTCTGTATCTCTGTGTCTCAGATGAATAAATAAAAATCTTTAACTAAAAAAAATAAAATAAAATATTTTAAAGACTGTTTAATGACATCAGGAGTCAAAATTGTGTGAAGACATCAAAACTGTACAGGTGTTGGTCGCAACTTTTACAGATACACACACATACGTAAGTACGTAGAAAAAGAGCTGTGACTTTAAAAATGGATGATGAGACTATGAATGACAGTTATTTTACCTTTGTGGTTTTGTATGTTTCCAATTCAGGAGCATGTATTGCTTTTATGATAAGGAAAAAAATATATTTTAAAATAAATTTTAAGAAATGTAAAGCCAGGAAAATATCTACTTTGAAAAATGGCATTTCTGACCACAAGCACAGCTGTACGTACTCTACTTATATTTCCCTTTTTGCCACAGCTGCCAGGGGGCTCAGAATTTAATTTTACTTCCAGAAATTCCAGAAATAATATCATGTCCTAGGATTGATATAATTTTCTTTTCCTTTGCCTTGAGTTCTGTGTGTCTTCTTTCTTTTCCTATGCCATTAACCTCATGTGTTATAAGTTACCTCAAAAGTTCTCCAGAATCCTGAGGGCCAAAACTAAGACCTTACACAGCCTGGACCAGCCTTTCCAGGCATGCCCTCTGGCCCCCCAAGCCCTACCCTCCAGCAGCCACACCTCGGTGCCTCCTGCCCACAGACTGTGAACTTTGGAGCCCTTGCCCCCCATACCCTCTCTGGTCAAGCTTTTCCACATCCTCCACCCGCATGCCGAAGATGAAGAAGTTCTCTTCTCCCGCCTCTTCTGCCATCTCCACATTGGCCCCGTCCATGGTGCCGATGGTCAGAGCCCCATTGAGCATGAACTTCATGTTGCCCGTGCCTGAGGCCTCAGTGCCTGCTGTGGAGATCTGCTCAGAGAGGTCAGCGGCGGGGATCACTGTGGGGAAGCAGCAGGGGACAAGCTCAGCTCCAGGAATAGTCCCACCCCAGCCGGGGACTGTGGAGTTAACTGAATTCAGAGCCCCCTCCACCCCAACCCTACAGAAGTCACCCACTGAGTCTCCCTCTCATCACCAGCCCCCTGTCACTGCTTGGTGATCCTTGAACACCCGAGATCTAACCTGGACTCTCTCCCCAGCCCTGCCCCACTGTGTGTGTGATTTGAAGGCCAAATCTTCCCTATCATTTCTGCCTGAAATTCCACCATGAGAGGGGGACATCCTCGTGATTTGAGCATTGTCCTCTCCAGATTCTTCTTCCAAGTGCCAGCATGCTAGGAACAGGTAACCAATAGCTCTTCCTGGCACTGAACTCATCAGAGCCTCTCTCTGGTGGCACCCCACCTTTCTCTGCCAGCGAGACTCGGTAGTTCTCCAGGAAGATCACACGGAGGCGGTCTCCTACCACCGGGTCATGGTTAACCACATCCCCAATGGCCGTGATGAGTTTGATGATCATCTTGGCCATGTGGTATCCAGGGGCAGCCTGTGGGGGCAGAGTCTGGGGTCAGCCCCACAGCCCGGCCCCCTACCCCTTATCCTGCAACCCAGCCAGGCCAACCTCAACCTGGGTGTCGAAGGACCAGAGCCACAGTCTGTGTCCTGGCTTCTCACCTTCCCTCCAATCATCACAGTTCGGGGCACAACAAACCTATTGGGTTCCTGCTTGATGCCTGTAGAGAAACAGAGCAGAGATCAGTGGACCAGGTCTTCCCTCTGGGTAACACCTCCTGACAGCACCCATCCAGCCAGGGCCTTGGCCAGGAGACAGTGGACCTGATTTGGGCAACCACTTGCTACGTGACCTCAGATCTGCCATTTTCCCCCTCTCTGAGCCTCAGTTTGCCTGTCTATGAAATGGGGATAATCCCATGTCCCAAGAGTTGTCCCAAGGCCAAAGGAGAGACATTGATTAGGAAGTATGGAGTACACAGAGGAGAGCCCCAAGAGACCAAGTGAAACCCTGCCACTCACGGTTGTACAGGGTGATGATGTGGAGGCAGTTGAGGAGCTGGCGTTTATATTCGTGAATTCGCTTCACCTGGATGTCGAAGAGCGAGTTGGGGTTGATATGGACTTTGTATTCCTTCTCTAGGTATGCAGCGAACTTTAACTTGTTTTCCTGAAGGGAGGGAGGGAGAAGAGCTCGCCAACAGGCCTCAGCCTCAGGAAATCCTACCGTGTAATTTCTTTCCCAGAAAGGTGGAGGATGGGAGTCTCGCTTGCCGCCCCCTCCACGCCTGCCGCAGAGCAGACATTGCTAATCAATGTCAGCACTCTTCCAGGGCCATCAGCTGATGCCTTCTCGCCATGGACTCCAGGCAACTTCTACCAGGGGCCTGAGGTTGCAGGAGAGACGGGCTCCCCTGGCCATTCCCGGACCCAGGCACCCGGCGCCTCCGGCATGCTCCCTCCCACGCTTGGCACGAGGGTCCCGGGTTGTCACACTGCCTACCTGCTTCACTTTAGCCACATCCCGGATAAAGGCTTCATCATCCACAAAGGAGAGCAGTTTGCGCAGCTGGTCCAGGTCTGAGATGTAGTCCTCCCCAATGCGCTGCGGGAGATGGCGGTCAGGCCTATGTCCCTCTTCTGTCCTCCCTCACAGAGGGGTCTCTTTCCAGGTCAGCCAAGCCCTGTCCCCGGCAGACAGCCCCTCCTTCTCCAGCCTCCAGCAGAGGCGTGGTGTGTGCACAGCCATCTTCCCTCTGGACCTTGAGCTCTGATGGCTGACCCCACCTGACCCCAGCAGGCCTTCCTCCTGGCCTTTTCCTCAGACAGGCAATGACCCCGAAGCCCTGCTCACAGTCTCTGCCCCCTGCCGGTCTCACTTCAGATGTGACCTGCTGATGACCCTCTCCATTAGACTGTGAACCCGGGGGCCCCCTACAGTGACCCACCTCCACATCCATACACAGCTGATCCCTGTAGTGACCCGTGTTGACTCCTAGTGGCCATACAGTGACCTCTCACCTCAGCAATGACCTCTGCCAGCCCAGGGTTACACATAACTAGCCAGCGACGAGGGGTGATGCCGTTGGTCTTATTCTGGAACTTATGAGGCTCCAGCTCGTAGAAGTCCTTGAAGCTGCAGGATGGGGTTGGAGGGTCAGTATTCTTCCCTGTGGGACGAAGGCCTCCTCCCTGAGGCCTTACCCTGCTTTCTTGCTGAGAGGGGCCTGGAGGTGAGGGGGTGGTTGTGTGTGAGAGGGGGTCATCTGGGGACAGAAGTGTTCTGGACATCAGGGCCACGATGCTTATAAAAGCCGTGCTACCTGTGGAAAGGGCCAGCAGGGGTCAGGTAGTGCCCTCCACCCGCCCCCCGCCCGGCCTGTATGTCAAGGAGGTGGGCCAGGGGCGGGGCCAGCGAGGGGGCGGGGCCAGCGGGAGGGGGTCTCACGGAGGGGCCAGAGGGAGGGGCAGGGCCAGCAGGGGGCGGGGCCAGCGGGAGGAAAGGGAGGTGTCTCACATGGTCTTCTTGAGGATCTCTGAGTGGATGCGAGCCACGCCGTTGACCGCGTGCGACCCGGCGATGCACAGGTGGGCCATGTTGATGCGCTTCACTGTGCCCTCCTCCACCAGCGACATGCGCCGCAACCGGTCTACATCCCCTGGGAACGCAGCTGCCACCCGCTGTGCGGGGACAGCCCAGAGCTCAGGCACGGACCTGGAACCCAGGTCCCCAGCCCCATACCCCCAGAGCTCCGCGCATAGCGCCCCCCGCCCCCCCCCGCTAGTGTCAGGATGCCTACTGCGAGCAGCCTTCCCCAGCCCACGCCCCCAGCCCAGGCCTCCTCCGTTCACATTTAGGAAGCGCTGGTTGATCTCATAGATGATCTGGAGGTGGCGGGGCAGCAGCGCCTCAATAAGATGCACGGGCCAGCGCTCCAGAGCCTCGGGCAGCACAGTGTGGTTGGTGTAGGCACAGGTCCTGACCGTCAAGTCCCAGGCCTGATGGGCAGGATGGGGAGTCAGGAACCCTGGGGCCTAACCGCCAGGGCTCTCTACACACACAGTATGCAGCCAGGAGCCTGGGCCCTGCCACTGAGGAGCAGGTTTGAGGACACTCGCCCTCTGGGCCTCACACTGCTGTCTGTTCCACGGGGGCTGCACTCCCATATTTCCGCTTCTCACACTGGGAAGGGAACCCTGAGACGGAAAGAGGGTCAGTCACTCCTGAAGCTCACCTTGTCCCAGTCCAGCCGCTCCAGGTCCACCAGGATCCTCATCAGCTCAGGGATGGCCAAGGAGGGGTGGGTATCATTTAGCTGGATGGCCACCTGTGGAGAGGGGGGCTGGGAGTCAGTCTGGGATCCAAACCACGGCTGTGATCACTGTCCTTTGCCCCTTCGAGCCACCTCCAAGGGCCCACATGGCCCCAGGGTAGAGCTGGGGGTAGAAGTCCTCAGAGGGGCAGCTGTGGGCAGGAGGAGGGGGGCAGTCCCCAGGTGATGTGCCCATCGATTGAGGATCCTGAGCAGGGTACCCTCAGCCTCTACTTCCTCCTCTATAAAATGAGTGGGGCAGGCGGACGCTGGAGGGGAGGTGGTGGCGCACACGTCATGGGAGGTGTGGAGAGGGGCCCTCCCTGGGCCCTGGTACCTTATCCGGAAAGGCATCGAAGCTCGTGCGCACAGGGTCGCAGCAACCGAACTTGGAGGACTTGAAGCGGCGGATGATATCCTGGAGGGTGGCGGCCACTACAAAGTACTCCTGCTTCAGACGCAGCTCCTTCCCCTCAAAGAACTGGGAACAGTCCAAGGCAAGGTTAAGCAAGTCAAGGTTGGGGGGGGTGGCTAACACTGCTGCGGGTGGGGCCAGGAGACTCCTGCCCACGCCGAGGCCCTTGAGCCCTGAACAACCCCCACCTCCAGGGCCCAGGGGTCTTTCGCCCACCGAGAAGTAGTAGCGGGGGATGGTGTTAGGAGGGAGGCACACAAGGACCAGTATTGTCAGCATCACCAAGGAACAGCAGATCCAAAGTGCCCTGCCCTAGCTTGCTGTCCCCAGGACTTAGGTGTCCTTTTAAAGAACTCGGGGCGGGGGGAAACAAAGACACATAGGAGCCAACAGTATGTCCCTGGGTGCAGGGCACGTGGCTGGCTCAGTCAGAAAAGCACGTGACTCTTAATCTCCAGGTCGTGAGTTCAAGCCCTACATTGGGTGTAGAGATTACCAAAAAATAAATAAACTTAAAAAACAAAAACTATGTCCGGGGTGTGACTAGGGCACCCCGGGACAGTCCCTCCCAGGCTTTGCCCTCTCCCAGGCCCTCAGGCTTCCTGTCCCCAGCCCAGGAGGTGACATACATTGTCATTGGGGTACAGGACACGTGAGATGTTCTCAGCGAGGTTTCGATCCAGCACAGCTTGGATGTAGCCACCGACGTTGACTGAGGGGTGAAAGCGGGGACAGCGTCAGGCCGGGGCTGAGTGCGGGCGGGGTGGGCGGAGCTGCTGGTGGCCAGGGCTGGACTCACAGTCCTTGAGGTTGAAGTCATTGGGGGCCTTGGCCGACCACAGGCGCATGGTGTTGACGATGTTGTTGCGATAGCCGGGCACCGGCGTGTCGTAGGGCATGGCCAGCACCACCTGCAGGGGCGTCGGGCTTGGTGTCAGGAGCTAGGTATATGCCACATGAGTCGTGGGGCCCTGAGAGCTGGCATTCCAGCCTTTGTCCTTGTGCTTTGCCAATTCCCAGCCCCGGGTTCCCGTGCCGACTCTGGGTGACCATGAGCAAGCCTCTCAGCCTCTCTGGACCTCGTCCATAAAGAGAGGACCTCCCCCAGGACCTCCCCACACCCCCCACCCCACCTTGCCTGGATGCTTGTGAGGATTACAGGGGGCAGTGATGAGCCCGGAGCCCAGAGCTGGGCTCTGTTGGTGGCCACCCTGCAGGGATGGGGATGAGCTGGCCCACCTGGTCTGAGCGCAACCTAGACGACTCTCTGGGCGCATGAGAGGGCTGGGGGGAGCCTGGGGCCGGGCTGAAGGGGACACAGATGTCGAGGCCATCCCAAGGGCTTATGCCTGCTTGACCACAGGGCTAATCAGCAGTATCTAATGCAGGCCCCACCTCCCGCGATGAGCAGACGTCAAAAATCGTCGCCAATGGTTCCTGCTACCACGGACCTGGGGGCACATCCACGCCCACCAGGGGGCAGCACCCTTTCTCCCCAACACTAAGTCACTGAGCCGCTGACTGGAACAGAGTGGAAGCTGCAGCTCAGAGAGGGAAGGGACTGGCCCAGGAGCATAGAGCTTGGTGGGCAGCCAGAGCCCCTGCTGAATCGTATCACGATGGCAGCGGAACCAATGCCTGAGTCTGGAAGCCAAGAGGTTTCTGTGCAGCCCTCTGGAGGCCCATGACCTGCAGCCACAGCAAGAGAACTGACGGGGCTGGGATTCAGACACCTGGTTTGGCTTTCGGCTCCCTCTAACTTGTTGTGTGACCTTGAACAAGTCAGTTCCTCTCTCAAGGTTTTCACTTTCTCCCTGTCCCCCTTTCTGGGCTGTTGCTTTGCTCCCCATCAAGCTGCCAGTTTCGATGTTCTGGGGACTCAAGTCACCGTGATTATTCTTGGATGAGTCTTATGGGGTGGAAAGGAGCCAGATCAGGGAAAGGGCACTGGTGGAGCTGGGTGGCCTCTCTCCTCCTCCTGGGCTCTGTGCTTTGGCCTGGCTCCTCTGTGATCCTGTCTCCAGCCTCTCCTGGCTCCAACTGTGTGACCTCGAGTAAGTCACTTAACCTCTCTGAGCCTCGGTGTCCTCCATTATAAGTAGCCCTGGGTCCAGTAGCCTCCAGGCTCTTGCCCTGTATCTCCTTGTTTTCTTCCAGAGCCTCCCCACTTCCCTCTCACTGGCAGCTCCCCCAGCTCTCTCACCTGTGTGTCCACCCACTTGGCCCCCTGGTTGGTGTGTTCCACTCGGCCATAGAAGTGCACCGGCAGCATGAACTCGGGGCGGGCCTTCTCCCAGGGGTTTCCATAGCGAAGCCAGTCATCAGCCTCCTCCATCTGAGCCCAGGGCAGGGCGGGGAGAAAGGAAGGTAGCATCAGACCCAAGCTCAGACCCAGACGCACACCACAGGGGGCAGTGGGTAGGGCAGGAGCCAGAGCCTTGGTATGCCCTCTCTAGAGTGTAATTTAAGGGCCCTAGGGTGGGTCCCTGGTCTGGTGGGGTATCCAATGGGACATGGCATGTGTATGGGAGTCAGAGAGGTTCCATAGGCGTGGACCACCTGTTCCAAGAGTGACCAGCAGGTTTTGGGGCCAGGGGGAAGGGACAAGGATGCTTTCTGTCAAAGCTGAGGCTGGTTCTGGATCTATCCAGAGGTGGATGACCCAATGGGGGTCCTCTCCATCATGCCTGGGTCCCCACAAGGCCAGGGCCCAAGGTTCCTCACCTGCCAGCCCCCGCAGATCTTCTGGTTAAAAATTCCAAATTCATAGCGGATCCCGTAGCCATAGGCAGCCAGGCCCAGTGTTGCCATGGAGTCCAGAAAGCAGGCTAGGGGTTTGCAGGGAGGTGGGTGTCAGGGACCTGGCAGAAAGGAACCCTACTGCCCACCCCACCCCTGCCACCCTGCTCACTTACCGGCCAGCCGACCCAGGCCCCCGTTGCCCAGCCCCGCATCCTCCTCGATCTCCTCCAGCTCCTCCACGTCCAGGCCCAGCTGGAGGGGGGAGGGTGTGGCAGTGGTCAAGGCCAAGGGCCAGCGGGTGAATCCCCCAATTCCTCAGCTTGCCCCACTCCCCGCCCCGCTCCCAGCCCCCTCCACACCTGGTAGGTAGCCTCATCACAAGCATTCTCCAAGGCCAGGTTCACCATGGTGTTTTGTAGTGTCCGTCCCATGTAGAACTCCAGAGACAGGTAGTAGATCCTCTGGCCGGAGAGAGACAAGTGCAGGGGAGGGGTCAGGGCTGCCCAGCAGCATTTGGCCAGGCCTCTCGCACCTCCTGTCCCACTCCTCGGGCCCGGCACGTGCCAGCCCTGTCTCCATTTATTTTCTCCCCATCTCAGGCTTCCGGACCCATCGGGAAGGTTCCGGTCCAGCATTTCCTCTGACTTTGGACACACGGCTTTTCTTCTCTGAGCCTCAGTCTCCACATCTGGGAAATGGGGCTGCCCTATCTACCTCGGGGATCGAGGTGCTTAGGAGAGGTGAGAACCCCTGCCATCTCACACGAGCCTCCCGACGGCGCACCGGGGAGTCAGGACATGGAGAAGCCCCTCCAAGTACTCCCCCAGAGGGGAAGGCCAAGGTAGCAGAGAAACCAGTCATTTGCTCAAGGTCACCATGACTCACGGCTAGAGTTGGCCACCCCCTGTCCTTGTGGTGCCCAGTTCCCCTTGGTCCTCAAGCCTCAGCCCCAAGAAGAGGACAGAGGATGCTGAGGGTACCTGGCCTCCTGGTTTCCTAGGTTCCCCTCCCTGGCCCACTCGCCTGCCCCTCCCCCTCCCCTGCCCAGGAGTGTCAGGTTGCTGACATTTACCATGACCCCAGCAGACACTTGATCCCACTACCCCAGCTGTCCCGGCCGCACACCAGCACCACCTATTGCACAGAGACACCACGCTCATATTGAATGACCCGGCCTTCCACTTCAGGTCCAACCCAGGCCGCAGGGGTCTTCCCGACCACCAGAAGCCTCTCTGCTCTCTGAATGGGCACTTGCCTTTGCAACCAGCCCGCCTGATCTGAGCCCTGCAACCTGCCCGCCGCCCTGCCCCCGGGTTTCTCTGCCCGGGTTGTCCCGGCCCCAGCTGCACTTGGCACTCCTGCTCCTCCAACCTCAGCAACCTGGAAGGACCCTTTATTCGAAGGACCCCCCCCATGAAGGGCCGCCACTTCGTCAGGATCTCCCGGGTGGGGGCCCCAGCCCATTTCCCACCCGGGGTGCCCCAAGAAGCACCTTGGGGTCCTTCTCGTAGTAGTGCTGCTGCGTGCGGATCCAGCGACCCACGAGGTGGTCGCGCACGGTGTGGGCCAGCGCAAAGTAGTAGTCCCTCGGGGTGGCCACATTGCGGTCCTTCACGAGTGTGAAATGGAGGTGCCGGTTGAAGTTCTTCTTGAGCTCGGTCACATTCTCCACGCCAGCCAGGCCACGCACGCTGATCTGCTTTCTCTTCTCCTGGTCTGACAGGGGCCGGGACATGGCTGCGGGAGGGTGGGCCTGACTGATGGGTGGACAGGCTGCCTCGGCAGTGCCTCCAGCCAGGGAGTGGAGATTCCGCCCCCCCCACGCTGGCTGCCTGGGGTTTTAAAGCCTGGCTCTGGGCGGCTTGCCCCGCCTCCCCCTGCAATGGGAGGGTCTTGGCCTGGCAGCTCAGGGAGCTATTTTGGGGGCAAAGGAGGAGGGGGAGAGGGGAGAGGGGCAGGGAGAGCAGGCCCAGCCTGGCTCATTCACAGCCTGGGGCTGACCCACTTCCTCCAGGCCTCGCGCACTGGGGTCTTCTGTGCCTGCCTCAGAGACAAGATTCCGCAGGCCGAGTGCTGCCTGAGAGGCCTGAGGCTTCACTGGAGCTCAGGGGCTGTGCCTTTGGCGAAGAGGTTGCCCTGATCCGGGCCCTTTCCCTGGGTTGTGGATGAAGGGTGGGGCCAGATTTTGGCCTCGTTCAGGGCTCCTGGAGAAGCCGAGGAGGGCTGTCAGGGGGCAGGTGTCAGGAGGCTCAGCCTTCATCAGAGCAGCTGGGCTTCTGTTTTAGACATTTGCCCAAAGACCACCAACCACCAGCTGGAAGACCTCTGGTCAAGCTTCCATGGTGGCCCTCCCCGGGGACGGGGCAGGGGGCTGGGCCTAGGTGGGGAGGTCATATGCTGTGGCAACAGGGGCCAGGACACCCCCATGCAGGCTTAAGGGGCCAGGAGCCGAGGGTCAGCTGAACAGAAGAGGTGTAGCCAGCAAAGGACACTGGGTGCCTGAGAAAAGCGGGACCAGGACTCTGGGTTCCAGGGGGTGGTATGGAGGAAGGAGGTCGCCTGAGGCAGGGCTACTGTCCCCCCCAAAGCTGAGCCACCCTGAGTTCCCCCTGTTGCTGTCCTTCAAGGAGCTCTGAAGTGACCTTTTGAGAGGGATGGTGGTCAGATTACAGGCCAGCTTTGGCTAGGGGCTGCCAGCCTAGAGCAGGGGCCTCTGGGAACTGTAGTCCTGGGCCCACAGTGGAGGAATAGACAAGCATCCCCCACCGACTCATAGTACTGGCCAGTGGTATTAGGTCTCCCTGTGACACAGCTGCCAGGTGACTGGAGACCTCCTCCCCCTTGTTCCTCCCACCCGGGGCCACATACGGGACTGGAATTCAGTGGGCCCAGGGATCACAGCTGTGACCTCACCCGTAGACTGGGAGCCTCTGCACCCAGAACTTGACACCACTCACTCGTCTTCACGGCCGGGCAGCTACGGGACTGTCCCCAATCCACTGCTCATGCCCTGGCCCCAGCACCGATTTGCTGTGCGACCTTTAGCTGGTTGCTTTACTTTTCTGAGCCGTTGAATTCCTTCATCCAGTTTATACTCTCAAATGAGAATATAAATTCCTGCCTCCTCCAGCTGCTGCCTCCTACTCTTGTGGAGGCAACTTTGGATCCTTTGTTCTTTGAGCAAAAGGAGCCCAGGGCTTTGTGCTATTTCAAAGGATGCCTGGGCCTCCCAGGGCAGTGGGCTGGTAGAGAGGGGCTGGGTGTTCTGGTCTGAGGGCAAGGAAGCAGGTCAGAGGCCTGGACCAGCTGCAGGGTGCTACTGAGAGCCTGGGTTGGGGGAAGGCCGAGCTGTCTTCGAGGACATTCTGAGCCACAGCAGACCCAGGCCTGGAGGTACAAGCTTAGCGTGGGGTCTAAACTCCGAGTCTTCCAATTCCCGAGCCCTGCTCTCCCCTGCCCCCAAACAGCATTTCGGTGTTGATCTCCCATAGCTGCCATGCTTCAAAGTGAGAAAAAAGATCAGGAAACACCCAAATGTGCCTACACAGATGTAGTGGGAATATAGAAAACTTCCTTACATTTCACGGTATTTTCCAGTTTCTCCTTTTGGTCTTTTGTATACTCTAGTTCAATAGGGTGCTTGGTTGGCTCCCTGGTCTCTTCTGAGCCCCTATTCCCAAGGCTCCCCGCCAGGGCTGTGCCTCTGCAGGGGTCACCCACCCTCCAAGGACCTGGTCTCCGGACTTGGCTTGCATCTGGGGCTGCTGGGCCTGGGCTTGCTCTCAAGAGGCTGCTCTGAGTCAAGCTCAGAAGGCTCCTTGGTGCTTAGTGCTCCCTGGAGAAAGCCACCCGTTATCTGTGCTGTCACATCACACCCCTGTTGTGGCAGCGTCCTGGCCACACAGTTCTTCTACTGACCCCTAGTTGCCTACCAGTTTCTTTTCCTGCCACGAAGAACCTGCTCCCAAACCATTCCCAAACTCTCATCCTACTCCCCAGATGAATCCAGTGCTCTTCCAGCCGGCTGGTTCTGATGCCCCTCTCTGCATCAGCGCTGTGCTCACCCTTCTTCGGGGCTCAAGGCACTTGCTCAACTGAGACTTGGCCTGTTTCTACTAGGAAACAAATTCCTTTTTTAAAGTAGGCTCCGTGCCCAACGTGGGGCTTGAACTCACAACCCTGAGATCGAGAGTCCCACGCTCTACCGACTGAGCCAGCCAGGCACCCAGAAATTACTTTTGATTTTTCCAGCTACCTTCCTTGTGGGTCCCTTCCATCTTTGTTGTCTGTGCCCCCCACTCAAACTGTTTCCAGGCTTTTTCCAGGGGTGACCCCACCCTGGGGCCCCTCCGTTTATTTTGCAAGCCCCAGCCCAGCATGATGAGACCTTGAAGGCTCAAACTGACCCACTTCTTGTGTCCCCATGTCCTCTCCAATCCCTCACTCCCCCGTGCTGCGTGTGCAGATCAATCTGGAACCCTGGAAGCACTTGATCAACTTGAATAACCCAAGCTTGTTTATGTCTGACTAGGTTTCTAACCAGAAATCCTGCCTCCTTCTTAGACCAATCTTGGGTTTCTCCAGAGCCCTAACGCTGACCTTTCCCAACTGGTATTCCTTTCACCAACCAAGCTGGGGTGGGGGGGGGGGGGGGGGAGGTGGTGCAGACAGGAACAGACCTGGTGGAGCTAAGGTTTTCTCCTCCACCCAAGGTGGTCTGAAGGTGGGTGGGAAAGCATTTCTCCTCTCTGCCCACTCTGCCACAAAGGCAGGTGCTCCCTGCACTTCTGAGAGCCAAGCCTTCCTGCTGTCTTCCATCTCAGGGTCTGGAGCTCCTTGGAGAAAGCTCCTGAGCCCATGCCTTAGTTAGCCACTTTGTTCCTCTCCAAAACCTTAACAAAAGCTGACGGCAGGGAGCCGGGAGGCAGCTAGCACAGGAATGGAGCTGGCCCCGGGGGAGAGAGACGGAGGAGATAGCTGGGCTGCGGTTAAGTCATTTATTGATTTTATTTCTAAAACCCACATAGCGCCACTTTGCCTCTTCCAGAGCTTCAAAGAGCTAATTAACCGCCCAATGAGCCCACCAGGGAAACCAAGCTTGTGGGGGAAGCAATGAGGTGAAGCCAAGGTCAAAGAGGGTTGCTAGGCCCCAGGCCCTGCCCCCATTCTGTCAGTTAAGGACAGAAAAAAGATCATTCTCTTCTTTTAGTCAAGTGAAGTTTCAGTCTTGGTTAGGGAAACCCACTAAACTTGCCTTGCTTCCGAGGCTTTGTTAACTCTACCAGCCTATAGCCAAGTAGTCCAGACATCCCGGACGGGGCGCCCACACAACCCGCTTCTGCTCCAAAGAGCAGTGGTCAGATCCAACTTGAAGGTAGAAAGCAGCCCAGGCCAGAGGTGTCCCCACTGCCAGGTGCTGGGGGGGGGGGGGCAGCAGGAGAGTGCTGTCCCTTAACCTCCTGGAAGGAAAGGCAGTCAGGGAAGGGCAGGCTCAGCCCAGCAACAGCTGGGTAAGGACCTCATGCCTCGTGGAGCCCTGATGTGGATTCTTCGGGTGCCACAACCGGCACTGCCCACTGCCCCAGATGCGAAAGAACAAGACAACCTGAGACCCGCCGCAAAGTGCCTACAAAGCACAAGACAGGGCACTTTTTTTTTTTTGCCCCCAGCCATCCCCAAAGCCTGCAGTGCCAGCAGGCTGCAAGTCACCAGCAGAGAAAGAAAAAGCCACTTGGCGGTTTTAATTTTAGCTGCTCTGTGCCTCACAGGCAGGATTAGTTGGCTTGACCTTTAGTGCTGATGCCTCCCTAGGCCCAGGGCCTTCCGTCAGGTGGTAGCTTCCAGGCAGAGATCGCAACCAGAGCTCAGCAAATATCGGGGTCCAAGCCCCAGGGAAAGGCCTTCAAAACAACAGGGACCAGGGGATTGAGGGGTGATGGGGGTGGGTGGTGGTGGTGAAGAACCTGGTTCTCAGCTGTGAACCAGTAAACAAGGGGGAGATGGTGGGACCACCCACATACTCAGCTTCCACCAGCAAAGCCACACATAGGGACGCAGGCGGGAGGCTCCCTAATGAAGGTCCCCAGGGGTTCCCCAGAGAGAACGGGATGGCTGGGGCCAGGTGCTGAACGTGGGCAGGTGAGGTAACTTTGGAGCTGCTACTAAGGGTACAGGGGGTTTGATGAGAAAAGAAAAATGAAGAAACAGACCCAGAAAACCACACTGCTCTTTTATTCAATGGAACATCCCCCTTTTAACGCAGTGTTGAATCATACACCGAAAAAAAAGCCCAGAGAAATTTCTGCAGATAAACCAGTGAAGAGAACGCGCATTATACATTATAGTCAACATAATCACTCCATGAAGAGGGAAGGGGAGAAAAAAGTAGAATGAAAAACAGGGGGCTTAAACCCCTAGACACTGCAAAACATTCAGACGTTTGGGATTAAAATAAAATTTGAAAGGAAACCTTCCAGGAAGGAGAGGAACAAATGGAATCTGAGGCAGCTCAGGTGCTCAGGGAGCAAGGAAAGGACTCTCCAGGGTGACAGACAAGACCAAGGTAGCTTGGGTGGCCCCACCTACCACTGGCAGGGGTGCCAGGATGGGTGTCTGCCCGGAATCTGGAAATTAACCCACTTCTCTACCAAGGTGGCAAAAACAAAATGTCACACTACAAAAAAACAAAAAAACTGAGGTGGTCATGGCAACCTTGAAAATCTTAGAACCAAAAGTAACCCCCCCTTCCAAATAGCCTGACATTAATGGCCAAAGCTTGCGCCTAAAACCATTTGCTCCCTCCTCTCCTTGGGAAGAGAAGAACAAGGAATGGAGAAAAAAGAAAGGAATCTAATTGCAGCAGATCGGGGAAGAGCATCTCCTTGGACGGAGTCTGAAGAAAGGAAGAGATACGGAAGTAACAAAGGAAAAAGAAAAAATTAATAAAAATTTCACGATATGGAGCCAGCGTGTTCCGATTCCGTCCACAAAAATAACTCAGGCTGCTTTGCCGAACCATCCTGTCCACCAGGGGCGCTGCTGAGGCTGTCTGCCTGGAAGGGTCACCAATGGGCGCGGAAAGTCCTCACTCTCATGGCTCGGGCCATCGCCGCCGCGGGGAGGGATCCTGGCGGCCCGGTTTGGGGAGAGGCAAAGGGAGTTGGGTGAGGAGAGAAAGAAGACAAAGAAGACACTCGATGCTACGGGGCGCCAGGAGAGCCCAAGCTGGCGCCCCTACTACCGCCTGCCCGTTCCCAAGCGAGTCCTCAGTCGCTTGGCCCAGCCCGGTGCGTGCACACACACACATGCGTGCACACAAATCACATGCGTGCATCCCAATGTCTGGCTCCATATGGTGAGGTTCGGCGTGTGTTTAAACGAGACCAATTCTCTCTCTCTATAATATATATTTTCTTAAAAAAAAACCGAGTCTAGTTCTGTGGTGGAGGCGGTGGGGGAGCTGGAGGCATCCCGAAGGGCGGCATGCCCGCCACCCCCATGCCCATCATGGTGACAAAGTTAGAAGGGTCCATGGGAGGCGGAGGAGGAGGGGGCGGGGCATACATCATGCCGGCGGAACCAGGCGGCGGAGGCGGCGGAGGGGGAGGGGCCCCGGGCGGCAGAGGCGGCTGGACCCCGGGGGGCAGGGGCACCATAGTGGGGTTGCCTTGCATCTGAGGGGCTCCTGGAGAAGCTGCGGCAGCCGCCTGCTGCTGTTGCCATGGCGGGATGGACCCTGTGCCAGCGCTCGTGGTGGTAGTCGTCGTATCTGGGGTGGTAAAGAAGCCCAAGGTCACACGCGCGGGGGCACACCGCGGCTCTCTGCGGCTGCTGCCTTGGGATGGGGGGGCGAGGGGCGCCTGCTCCTTGCTTGGCATGCGGTACGGTGGTGGGGGGCGGGCGGGCGGGGCTGTCCTGGTGATGGGGAGTGGAGGGGTGGGCAGGACTACCCTGGGGTCAGCCTCGAGGTCTCTGGGCTTAGCAGAGCAAGCCCTTTGTCACCAGTGCCCCTGGAAGGGCTGAGGGGAAGGTACCAGACACAAGAACCGGCTCTGACATCCCTCCGCCCATCCGCCGCCACCACCGAACGGCACATTCAACCTCAAGGCCACAGCTACTCTCCCCACAGCCCGGTCCCATCCCTGCCGTCTCTCAGGCCCCAATCACGTCCCTGTGCGCAGCATGCAAGCACCCTCCCCACCCCAGCCTTACACACAGGCTCGGGCCAGCCAGCAGCCGGCAGCTCTCGCGGCCCAGCCCGCGAGAGCCTGGATTTCTGGCACCCTACCTACGATGGCAGGTTCCCTCCAGGTCCCCCAAAACCGCTCCCCAGACACAACCACGCCAAACATCAGCTCTCTTCCCCAAGACCCCCAGGGGCCACGAGGCCCTTTCTGCTTGCACCCCCAGCAGAGAACGGCGTCTCCTCCCTGGCTGTCTGCCTGCCTCTGTGAGCTGTGAGCGTCTCCTGCTCCTCTCTCAGCCCCACCTCCCCATCCCACCCACCCCCACAAGCCCAAAATAGTCCACTCACTTTGCTGCCATGGCAAGGGGGTACTGGAAGCCATACTGCTGCTGGGCGGAGGGGGTGGCGGAGGCTGCTGCTGCTGCTGCTGCCATGGGGGAAGAGGGCCAGAGGGAGGGGGCGGGGGCTGCCCACTGGGCGGCGGCGGCGGCGGCGGCATCATGCCCATAGGCGGCGGCGGCATCATACCTGCAGGAAGGCGGACGCAAGGATGAGGCCTCAGGGGAGGAGAGGGACTCGGGACGGAGACCCCACTCCCAGGCCCAGGGCATACCCTAGAGTAAGCAGATGATAGGCCGCATTACCTTTTCCTTGATGCAGGCGATAGACCCCAGAGCCCACAGGCGTACTTCCCAGGTACTGATCTTGATGGAAGGAAAGAGCAGGGACTTAGCAGGACATTTGAACTGGCCAGAGAAGATGCCCCCACCGCCAGCTTATTTGGTTCACACAGCTTGCAACCACTACCCTTGTAAGAACCGTTCTGTCAAAAGCTAATGATTTAATGTATGGTGATTAACATAACAATAAAAAATTAAAAAAAAAAAAAAAAAAAGAACCGTTCTGGAACCTGGAACCTTGCCTTTAAGACGTAGGTCTGTGTCTACGCCACACACAAACCACTTCCTAAACCAGGATGAAGTCTTGCTCCTTCTGGAGCCCCAGCCTTGGCAGGAGACCCGATGTAATACCCAGCCACTTTTGAGAGCTGCTTCCGGTTCGCAGCAACCTGACGTCACCCTTGCTTATCCCAAAGCCCCAAGGTTTCTGGTCTGACACTTACTTACCCATTGGAGGAGGGCCATGATGCCCAGGTGGGTGGGGGCCCTGGTTCATCGGTGGTGGCGGCGGCTGCATCCAAGGGGGTGGGGGTCCGTTAGGGTTGTGCTGCATGGGATGTCCACCATGCCCACCTGTCAGGCTGGGTAATGGGTGTGGGAAG